TAACTTCAATCAATGCAATTAATAGCGTGGAGGCGCGGTGGCTTGTGGATCGGGTGGTGAGGGTTCGAGCCCTGGCCGGGGTCATTGTGTTATGTTCTTAGGCAAGACACTTTACTCTCACAGAGCTTCTCTTCACCCAGGTGTACAAATGGGTAACAGCAAATATGCTGGGGGTAACCCTGCGATGGACTAGCATCCCACCCAGGGGGGAGTATCAATACTCCTAGCCGCTTCATGCTAAGAAAACCGGAGTTAAACACCGGCCCCATGGGCCACCTGGGCCCGTATAAAGTCTTTACTTACTTACTAATACAATTAATGTATCTGTGATTTTTTGGTTTTACTAGTAGTCCTTTTTCTTCATACTTTAGGTTAAGGAACTTCTTATTCAAAAACACAAAGAACTGAAAATGGGTTCGGTAAGTAAGCTTGCTACATAACAGGTTTTCTCGACATCTTATCTAGGGTACACTGATACAATCTTTGATTTTAACAAGCCTTGATTGTCACGCTTCATACAGTAATTTTCAAATGTTTGTCGAAAGTAGTCTGGGATTGCATTGGTTTTGCTTCAATTGGTTTTGTGAGTGGTCCAGATAATTCGTGCCACTCTCTCAAACAATCAGATTCGAAACTAACACCGATCTCGTCTTTTTTGCCCTCGTTTGTCTGCGCTTTTAATACGCGATTTACTCGTATTTACTTTTCCTTTTCATTGACTTCTTGTGATATTTTTCCTTGTTCTAATTGATTGTTGTGATAACTTTGGTTTTGCTTTAACGACACTTGAACGAAAAGCGCTGTAACCTGTTGTTAAAATGTTATCTTTTATTGCAGCCAGAGGATTACGATACCTTTTTGTCAGCGGTTATTGATGGCAAGGTAAAACCCTTTTACCTAATTTGTGATCCTGAGGAAGTACATAGCTAGGTTTGTGATTAACATTCCAGTGATTTTTTTCAGTCGTACAAGAAAATAAAAGAGTACATCGATTATGCCAAAGAAAGCCCAGATCTCAGTATTATTGCCGGAGGAAAGTGCGATGACAGGTGAGATTGACTTGAGTTTACCAGAAGGATGTTTCCTGTGCGCTGCTCATAGTGTTATTATTAGGATAATAGTACATTATGATAATTAAGTAAATGTTAAGTTTCTCAGTGATTTCTTGTTCATACCCTCCTCTGCATGACACCGATTATTTACAATTTGATTTTCGGAGGGTACCGTTCTACTTCAGGACGACATCGTCCGTTTCCGCAAACTTGCGTCCGTTTCCATCTGATTTCGGACACTTGCGCCCGTTTTATAGCCTGCAGAACGGGCTTATTTTCATCCGTTTTGTAGGCGAACGGAGGCATGCGCGAGGTGAGCGCGAATTGCTCTTCCCTCGCGCGACTCGCACTTCGCGCTCGCCACGCACTTGCCTTCGCTTGCCACACAAAATTACGCTTGTTCTGCGGGCTAGAAAAAAAGGGCGCAGGAGTCCCAGATCACATGGAAACATGCGGAAACTGACGCAAGTAAACGCAAACTGACGATATCTTCCTGAAGTAGACTTTTTGTGCTTCTGGTTTCGGAAAATTGTATGTTTTTGGACGATACCATCTGGTTTCGGACACTTGCTTCCGTTTGCGGAAGATCGCGTCTGTTCTTGAACAGTACCGTTCGGCTTCGGACACTTCAGACAAAAAAAATAGCAGACTTTCGTCCGCTTTCGGACACTTGCGTCCCTTCTTGGACGGTATTGACTGGTTTCGGACATCGGTTTTCAGACGTTTTGGTCCGATTTCAAAAACTGGGTCCGTTTTCGTAACGATATCCGCTGATTTCAGACACTTCTAGAAGTCGATACACGACAAAAGTGGAAATAACAATAATGAAATTTGCGAGGTATAACTTGTACTTCGTATACCTTTAGAAAACTGTGTTCTTAAGTAATTTGAAATCCTTCTCTTCTTCTTCCTTAGTGTGGGTTATTTTGTTGAACCAACTATCATCGAGACTAAGAAACCCGATGACAAACTCATGAACGAGGTAAACGCATTTCTGTCAAAAGTTTTCTTCTTTACGATTTATAAATTGTACGGTTCTGATTGCTGCCTCATTCGTTTCTTTTAATTTTGTTTGATTCTGTCTAATTTCTTCTTCAGGAAATTTTCGGCCCTGTTCTTACCGTATACGTATACCCAGACCAAAAATGCAAGGAGACGCTTCAATTAGTAAGAGCACTGTTAGCTAATATAGGAGTGTAGTTGTCAACGGTTTGTTGAAAATTATTTAGCATCGTATTGGTTTTTTTAATTTACTTCACTTTGTAATTGGTAGTCTCTCAACCAATCAGCTGATAAATTTAAAACCGATTTCAAACCCGGTTAATTGCTTTCCGGCACTTTTGTCAGTTTTACTTTTTTATACTCTGGGTTCTGATGGAGCAGTTTTCGATTGAGTTTCGTTAACTAAAAACAAAGACCTATCAGAGGAAGAGAAAATACCCCTATGAGCTCATGAGGACTACAAGCGAAAACAACCATATAGTCTAAAGGGCGGGAAAAACACGGGCGACCAAGTCGTGATTGGTTTTAGTTTTGTATCTGATTGGTTGAGAGTGGCGCGAGTTTTCTGGACCAATCACAATGAGAAGTAAAGCAACGTCATTGAAAATTTTCGATTACTTTTGACACTCAAATGAAAATCGCTTAATTTTCGTTTGTTTTGATGGGCGCTGTTTTTTTAAATTTGGTTTTGGTTTACGACGCGCAAACGAAATGCGCTGAATCTGCGACCATCTTGAATGAGTCTGAATCTGTGACCATCTTGTGGAGGAAATACTTACAGAAGTTTTCCTGTGCTTTAGATTTGATATTTCACTATTGCTGCCTCGTAGGTAGACAAGACTTCTCCATTTGCTCTGACCGGGTCCATTTTTGCAAAAGACAGGTTAGTATTTATCTGCTTTGAGTCGAAATTAGATATGTTAGTGAACCGAAAGTGCGTTTACTCTTGTATTTTGGGATGAAAAACCTTGCAGATATTTTATCCAAGAAGCAGCTGATATTCTGAAAGATGCAGCTGGTAACTTTTATATCAACGACAAATCAACTGGATCTGTTGTGGGTCAGCAACCTTTTGGAGGCGCGCGTCTTTCAGGTTAGTTTTCCACGCCACTATCTCATCCCTTTCCATATTCCTATACACTTTTAAAACAATATAACTCCTTGGCTCGTGTGGTTGTTTATAGTTTTGATTAATATTCCTGCGAGACAGCATGCTTTCTGGCTACCATATCGGTGACAAGGAGCTAAAATGATCCTGGGCTCGAGATTGCCTGACAGCTAGATTTTGGGCCGCCTCGTAGTCGCTTTAGCGTTTGCACATGCGTAGACTATTGACCGCTGCGGTCACTTTGTGGCTTGCCGTTCATAGTAGTAAAGTAGGTAATTTAGTGTTAACAACTGAGTTGAAAACGTAAATTCGCTACCGTAAAGGGTAAAAAAGCTGACGTTTCGAGCGTTAGCCCTTCGTCAGCTTTTTTACCCTTTACGGTGGCGAATTTACGTTTTCAACTCAGTTGTTAACACTAAATTACCTGCTATACTCTCCCACCGATGCAGCACCTCTGTTTCTTTAGAAACTTACCCCTTTATTCATAGTAGTAAAGTGTTTGATTTGTCCCCATGGTAACCAGTGGCTTTATTCCAGGAACAAATGACAAGGCAGGCAGCTCTCATTACATCTTGAGATGGGTCTCACCACAAAGTGTTAAAGAAACCGTGGTACCAATCGATGACTACAAATATCCGCATCAATCATGAATTACTTCAGTCAGTGTTGTAATTTTCTGAGAAGAACAGAATGTATTCGATGGTTTCAAAGCAAATTTCTGCTCTCGCTAAGGGCGGGAGTGAATGCAGTAAAGGAAGTAAGGAAGAATTCGGAAACTGTCCAGAAATCATCGCAAATGATTTGCAGTTTTAAATGAACGATTTTTTAACAAGCGTTTCAAAAACGTTGGGAATGAGATTGCTCTATTTACTTGAAATTTAATTCGAATAATTTTGGGAAAATTTTGTACAGAAGATGCATTGATATCAAGCCATACGTAGTGAAAATGTGCATGGTTTCTTATCAAGAACAAATGTCTTGAGGAAAACGAATAAATAAATCAATTATCTAATTTTAACCACTGAATATGTCACCTTGAAGATTTCCCAGCGTTCAATTAAGATAGAAGTCCAAATAACGGGGTATTTAATTTATTTTTCTGGCCTTGTGCAAAAATAAACATGATCGTTTTCAATTGTTGTCAGTCTGTGTTGTGGGAACCAGACCTTTTTTAATTAGGGAAATAATTAGTAAGTTGGACTGTCATCAAAGTAACCTGTTTTAGGTGTTCATATGTAAAACGGAGCTCTAAGGTGAAAACCGGGGAGAACCTATCAATCAAAATGACTAGGACAGTTTCAGTTTTTACAAAAAATCCGGTAATTTTATTCAACTCTGCTCTGTGATTGGTCCAGAAAACTCGTGCAATCCTCCCAACCAATCAGATATAAAACTAAAACCAATCGCAACCTGATTACTCGCGTTTTCCCGCGCTTAACCTGTTTTCAACTCAATCGAAAGGCGCTCTAAAAGTGCCAACCGATCACATATGGTTCTCCCAGCGCTACACGATCCGAGTAGTTTAGTGTGGATAACCGACAAAAACGCATCAAGAAGTATGCGTTTTCAAACGAAACGGTAGTACAGAAAGGGGCCTGAGGCAGGCGTTTCTCCGACGGTAACATACCATACTTTTACCAGTCAAGCAAAGGGGCAAGTTTCTAATTAAAAGAAACTGTGTTGCCACGTCGGTGGGATAGAATTACAAGGTAATTTGGTATTATCAACTGAGTTGATA